AGCACTTACCTTTCTCCAGCGCCGGACTCCCTTGGCGCTGAGGATCCCTCAACCTCTCAGCTCCGAATGCGACCGCGCACGCATTCAAACCGCCCATAGGAAAGCATTACTCAATGCTTTCCTATGGACGTTCAGTGTGCTCCTCTAGCGGCTGTCAGTGAGACAGCCACTAGAGGCTGGATTAACCCTCAGTGAAACAGCAGTTTCTCTGAAACTGCTATGTTTTCAGCTGCAGGGTTAAAACTAGAGGGACATGACACCCAGACAACTTCATTGAGCTGATGTGATCTGGGTGTCTGTAGTGGTCCTTTAAAGGACCACTATAGTGCCAGGAAAACATACTCGTTTTCCTGGCACTATAGTGCCCTGAGGGTGCCCCCACCCTCAGGGACCCCCTCCAGCCGGCTCTGGAAAGGGGTAAAAACTTACCTTTTTCCACCGCTGGGCGGAGAGCTCTCCTCCTCCGATCCTCCTCTTCTCCTCCCCGTCGGCTGTATGCGCACGCGCGGCAAGAGCTGTGCACGCATTCAGCCGGTCACATAGGAAAGCATTCATAATGCTTTCCTATGGACGCTGGCGTGCTCTCACTGTGAAAATCACAGTGAGAAGCACGCAAGCGCCTCTAGCGGCTGTCAATGGGACAGCCACTAGAGGAAATAGGGGAAGGCTTAACCCATTCATAAACACAGCAGTTTCTCTGAAACTGCTATGTTTATGAAAAAATGTGTTAACCCTAGCTCGACCTGGCACCCAGACCACTTCATTAAGCTGAAGTGGTCTGGGTGCCTAGAGTGGTCCTTTAAGTGTGTGTGCATCTGCATGCACTGGCGTACATACCGCGGTCGCAGGGGTCGCAGCCCTGTAACCCCTGCGACCAGGTGCCCACCGCCATGTGTTGCGGCCCGGCCCGCGCGGGGAGGGGGCCCACGGATCAATTTTCGCACCGGGGCCCCATGGGTCATGTGTACGCCACTGGCCAGCGGTGTTCAGCACCCAAACTGTGGAACTGTAAACGGACACTTATTTGCGCGAACACCGCTGAGCCGTCAGCCTCCATGTTTCTGCATTCGGTCAGATAACAGAATGCCTGTTCATTCGGTAGTTTAAACCGTATGAACAGCATTACCCCAGATAGCCATCCAGTGGAGTCTATTTGTATGGAGAACAGACTTTGTGAAGACTTTAACTCCACGGCGATTGGACTGTGTGCATAGGATCTGAGCGCTATTCGGTACTTTTGTGCGCTAAGATCCCAGCTATCTGTGGATGGGTTGCAAGTATATATTTTGTGTGATAAATGTAATATTGTGTATTTTATTGTGTTTTACTATAACCACGTGGGTAATGGAGTTTTGCCTCTGTCCTTGGAGAAAATTGGATTACTTCCCAATTATCTCCAGGATATAGGGGAGGGATTGTAATGTATTGGGGGGAGTGTTTTAACAATGTCTGCCTGTGATTGGTCATTGTACTATTTGTGTCCCAGTCTCCCATTTGGCCCTCTAGGGGAGTGTCCACCAGGTGGGAGACCTGCATAAATACTGGGCAGGTAGCCCTCATTAAAACAGACCACTGCTTGACCCTCAACACGGAGCTCTGTCTCGTCTTTGGGGGGGATTTACTGTATGCTGTTAGAGACTGATTGCCAGGAGTGTAAGCCGCTTGGGTGCTTTTCCTGTTCGTCTGCTAGCAGCTATTCGTGAGGTTCCAGTTCGGGAGTTTGGAGTGCTACTTTGTATGCAGTTCGGGAGTTTGGAGCATTCCCTTGTATGCAGTTCGGGAGTTTGGAGCATTCCCTTGTATGCAGTTCGGGAGTTTAGTGTTCTGCAGTAGCTGTGCCTGTATCTCTGGAAAGGAAGATCGACTAAACGGCGGTTTAACCCTTTTATGCCTGGGGGTGCCGTAACACACATGCTTGCCAGGTTATGATCTATACACTTCCACTTGAAAAAGCCTGCTGGCGAAACACGTTGTGGTCATTTTAATAACTGCATTGTATTTTATTGAAGGTATTTTCGTCACTTCCTCTCTGTAAGTTGCCATTTTACTTTATTTTATTTTAATTCTTTTTTTACCTGGCTTCTGAGGTTTTTATCCTGTTCCAGTGAGACATTACTCCAAAGAATCCTAGTTGGGGATTATACCACTCAAGGCCTATACATTGAGCAGTCCGCCTGCTCATGTAAATGTGAGTAACCACTTTATATTTTATCTGTGTACTCCTGTTTTTTATAGAGAACACTATTGCTGTTCCTTTTATATTTCATATGACCCTCCTTCAGACAAAACACCATCTCATGTATTGTATAAGTGGGGATTGTACCACTGTAAGTACTTCATACTAGAGCTAGTCTATTAGCTCTATAAAACGTGAGTAGGATCATATCAGACCTTTTACCAGCCTGCTACCTGCTTGTTGAATATATTGCACCATCAGTTGTTTCTTTTATCTCCACATACGGACTTTAAGAACACCCCTACCTTACAGAGCGACCTCCCATTTATAGAACTATTGTTGGCTTTACGTCCAGTTCCTTACCAAAGACTTTACTGAACTCTATGTGGCGAAACCGGCCTCGCCACCTGTCCTTGGAGGGGGCTGCTTGCCCGCCTCTTGCCTTTGGACTATGGACCAGACTTTATGTAAATGTGTTAACCCAGATAGTTATGCCATGGAGCCCATTCGTGTAGTTAAAGACTTCGGCTCCATGGCAATTGAACTGTGTGAATAGGATCTGAGCGCTATTCGGTAGTTTTGTGCGCTCAGATCCCAGCTATCTGGGGATATGTGAAATGTCTGTGTGTTATGTGTAAAAGGTGACTTTATGTATTTTAAAGTGTTTTATGTCTTTTTGCAACCATGTGCTCAATGGAGTCTGCCTCTATCCCTGGATAATTGGATTACTTTCCCCCATTGTCTCCAGGATAGAGGGCTCTGTAAAACCTGTTTGAGCCAGATAGCCATGTGCCAGCCAGGGCCCAAAAGATACTTTTACTAACTTTTGAACCCCTGGTCGGATTCATGCCATTTTTTAATATGTTGTTCCCCTGAATGGATTGATTGTGAACATGTAATTTTATGTGAATATGATGTATGGTTTTAAAGTTATGAAAGTTGGGTAGAAAGTATGTTTTAACTGTATGTGTAATTGAGTTTCCTCTCAGGATAAGGGGAGGGAATATGTGGGATGTAACTGATATGTGATTGGTTGTTTTATACCTTCCTGTGGGCGGTCCTGTATGTGAAAGGCTGTAATAAAAACCAGGCTGGGTGTGCCAGCACAAGAGTTCCTGTTTAACCCTCAAAGTGAAGTGTCGTCTCATTATTGGGGGAAGGATTTATTGTATGCTGTTCCAGTTTGACTGCTAGGAGGGTAAACCTATTCGTATGGTTTCCTATTCAACTGTCTACAGCATTCATATGCTTGGGAGAATTTATTTGTTTCTCCGGTTTGGTGATTGTGGTGTCTGCCAGAGTGCTTGGAGTCCTCAGGAAGCGCTAGGAGCATCCTTCAACGGAGGTACCCAGTCGGGGTGCCAGGCGATCCGTTACACTCTATATCTTCATTTTTATATCAGTTATTTTTTTTTATTATTATTACTACATAGTTGTCTTATCAGTATTTGTTGGCGCCGTATCTCCCACCAGCTCCTTTATTACAGACCATGTACACCGACACAACACACAGGACTTGCATATCACAGACCGTGTACACCGACAAATCAACAGGACTTGCATTTCACAGACCTTGTACACCAACACAACACACAGGACTTGCATATCACAGACCGTGTACACGACACACCACACAGGACTTGCATATCACAGACCGTGTACACCGACACAACACACAGGACTTGCATATCACAGACCGTGTACACCGACACACCACACAGGACTTGCATATCACAGACCGTGTACACCGACACAACACACAGGACTTGCATATCACAGACCGTGTACACCGACACAACACACAGGACT